GGAATCTATTTGGTAGAGATAATGATTAGCTTAATATCTTAATCATTAGAGCTAGCTTAGTAGTTTAGCATGTGTATTCTTATTTTAAGAGTTATTGTTGCTAAAATACTAAGTGTTGCATCATCGTTGCATGCATGTAGAGAACGAGTTGGTGGAGTTCGTGACCGCCGGAGAGTATGAGTATGAGGAGGTGATCGAAGAGTACGAGGAGGAGGTCCTTGTATAGGAAGAGGTCCCAGAGCCATCACTGACTGACTTAGCTGACAATCCGTCTGCCCAAGGCAAGCCGGTGCATAACCCTTATTTTGAATAATCACTAGATATATATATATATATATGTGTGTGTGTGTGTGTGATGTGCATTTACGTTACAGGACTTATATTGAAACTACATGTATGGATAAAACTACCATGAGTCCTACTAGCATAGGTCGAGTAGCTGCTATGCTTAGGCTATCGGTAGCATGAGTAACCTGCTGTTACTCATAATAGGTGATTATTATTATTACTCTCATGATAAAATGGTGAAAGGAAATAGAGACCGGGCAGGGATATGGTACGGGTATTGGTGGGTGTAATAGGTTGTGTCCCGTGGCCAATAGGGCATAGATTGGTTATACTATTTTCCCTATCCGTGTCGGTTAAGGACTGTCTGTTGCTGTGGATTGTAGTCAGGTCACAGACTTATTATCCTGAGCATATCCTTGCTTATAGGAGTGGGAAGGCTCATTGCTCTCTTGTTGTGGGTTCTGGATCTTTCTGGATCGACTGATTGGAGGCAGGAATGGTGGAGGTCTAAGCACCACACTGAGTCCGGGACTCAGCAGTGGGGGCTTGGAGTCCAAGTTTGGATGGGGACCTAGACCCCCGACAGGAGAGTGGTGGGTTGGTCTTGCTTGTGCCTAGGGTACAGACGGGGCATGTGTTTCGAGGTACCCAGCTGGGATACATTGGTTCGCGAATAACCGTGTGATACGGTACAACTTGTCTATGATCTAGCACCGTAGTAATAACTGGAAGATGAAAGATGATGAAATGGATCTGATTGCTCAACTCTTGCTTGAAAGTAGAACAGGTGCTTACATAGAATGGTTAGCTAATGAACTAATCATGACTGCTAATAAAACACATGCATAAGGATTCACTACTAGTAATGCTTTTCGTAAAAAGGATTTTTTGGTGGGCACATATGGATCCTTGTATCTTATCGTTAGATGTTTATTTCAATTCTGCTGTTTAAATTTCACACTCTGAACTTGGTATTGTAATAAAGCATTTTTGAGAACTCTTGTTGTATGAAATTAACTAAGTATTGTAAGCTTGTTCTCATTATTAGATCCTGAATGAAAAACATGGATTGTTCGAGTTCTCCTTTGGGGTGTGCTCGACGAAACTGTCCGATTTAGCTCACTTTCGGGGTGTTTAGTGTCTAGTAGAAGACGAGCGCCTCCGAATGTGTGTTATCTAGGGCGGTTCTACCACAAGCTCTTTCCGTCAAGGAGAATAGAAACAACTTCTATTTTAAGGTCTCGTTAGACATGCCAGTGATACACAAGCATGTACAGATCTGTTCAAACTCTTGTAGGTGTGAGTATGGGTTTTCATTGCCTTCTCCCGAGAAGGATTGTTCCTGAATCAGTTTTATTAAACCGGGCATAGCTCATAGCCAGGTTTTAAGATAGGCTTTGAAGATTTTGTTGCTATAGACGTGCGCTCGTAGGTTTAGAATATTGTTGGATAGGTGTGTTATCCATGCTAAAAAAATTAAAACAAAAGAAAGATAAAAAAAGTTAAGCTAGGTTCATAGTTAATTCAACAACCGTTTCCCGGTAACGGCGCCAGAAAGCTTGTTGGTATTTGTTAATGTACATAGATAAATCCGCAAGCACATGGATACCGCTGTAGCTTTCATCCGGAAGTACTCTAAGTATCGTATCCACAGGGAAACATGTGAGACTAATTACGGTCTAACTTAACTAAAGGTAGCAACAATGTTAGGATAAATAGGAGCATAGAGAGGATAACTAAAGTTCTCTTGTTCTGACTTCGGTAAGCTATTTCTTCTACTATTTAAATAGGGACATTACTAGGGAAAGACACCAGCAGAGTATGCTTTCCTTCATATCCGGGTCCTACTTGTCCTACAGATGGGAGGTGGACTACAAAGGATTCAACGAGGCTATAAGAGTTATCCTCATGAGCTACCACCAATCTAGAATGCAGGGTGCATCCACAATTAACCTAAGTCTAAGCATCACGCTTATAATTATAATTAATACTTTACTCCCTCTAAAACAGACATAAAGCACTCAAGAGAGTCGTGAACCTGAAGAACAATATAGACAAGATGCTTATTTGAATCAGAAGTTGATTACCAGATAAATCTTAGAGGAAAGCTCAAGTAGAACTTGGATCCGCCAAGGTACAAGCCATAGAGAGAGCACTGATAGACCAACACCTCCTCCAAACTCTTCCCTCACTCTCTATCTCACTATTTATATTTATAGGACTAGATCCTATGAAGGACTAATCTTCTCTTGATAGTTGGGTCTGATCCTGAAGATATGAATTAGAGTTTTAGGGATGGCTCTCCTGAGGGGGGTACAGGGCTGTATATATAGGGGGTAGCATCAATTCTAGACCCTCGGATCAAACCAACTTGAAAGAACGCCCAAGATGTAATCTAGGAGGCGGTGAAGAATCGACATTCGAAGCGGAGGCTGACTGACGGGCCCCATAGGCCGACCGGCCTACAAGTGGGGCCGGCCAGCCTATCTCGTTGACAGGTGGGCCCCATCTTTAGTGGTTCGTCCTCTAGAGTCTTCTAGAGTCTTCCCGTGTCGGTTTCGTTGCGGATAAACGTGATTTGCTTTGACAAATAGGTCCTCCTTGATGTTTTTCTGATTAAACCCTGCTGAAAACACAGATTCACCAAAACTCATGAAATTTATTAGTTTAAACCCCTAAACCTATGTTTGGTGATGGAATTAAATATATATGCATGTTATATTGATAGTTTATAATTGATGTTAATGACCGTCAACAGTGGTTGGCTGCCACAAATGATTTCCTTAAAGCTTCAACCGCCAAAGAGACAAATATGAGGTCAAAATTTTCACAGCGTCATGGAAATATGACAACCCTCTTACCCCCAAGGATATAAATTTTTTTAGGCTGCCGATCCTAAGGTATTTGCACAAACCCCGCTAACGATATATATATTTTCTTGTGGGCTGATGACCCCAAAGTATTTGTACCAACCGCCAAAGATATTTATATATCTTGAGGGATAATGACCCCAAGGTATTTCTACTAACCAATAAGGACATGCTTAGAAAAAAAGTAACATCGGGAGAAGCCCGTCACAAGCTTTTCATGCGCATGTGGGTACCAAGAATTAAAGTCACGACCTGAGGTCTCGTATAAGCCTCCGCTACCGCTCCATCCCGAAGTTACTTGTGACTAAGAGCCTGTTTGTTTTAGCTTTTATCTGGCTTCTGACAACTAAACGCCAGAAGCTAGAACAAACAACCCAGCTATTGAGTTGACTTTTTGAAAAACTGGAAAGTTGACTTCTAAGGAATGGAACTAAAAGCTAAAAAGCAAATTGAGAGCACCTTTTCTGGCTTTTGGTGTGCTGACAAGCTATAATTTATTACACAAGCTATAATAGTAAAAAGCCAGCAGCCAAAAGCCCAAAAGTTATAGCTCAAACAAAAAGCCCAAAGTAAATGTTGTAATGAATATTTAAGACCCTAAATGATTTCAAATGCAAAAGGTTAAATTAAAAAGTTTTATATCTCATCGAGTACTACAACTTTGGTTTATGTCATATCTTCATCTCATATCGCTTGGAGAATTCAGAAAAAAATTGAATTTGAAAAATTGAGAAATCAAAACATATACTTTGGTTTCTTTGATGGTTCAATTTGGTCTCTAAGGAAATTATTAGCCGCTAAAGAGATATTCCATTTTTTTGTAGGGAAGGTAACTGTTACCTTTGAGATTCTCTTTCCTTGCATGGGGTTTATTCTTTTTCTTTAGCTGTATGAGCTAGAAAAATGTCTTTTATATCAAGACTTATTGTTGATATATATAAAAATTCAGTCATCACAAAACCTTAATCTATTTCACGGTGGCGCACGTGATTATCCTTCTTATAAAAGTAAACAATGTCAGGAGTTCAGGGAAGCTTCTCCCATGAACAGCTTTTCCATAAACAAACCCATGTCACAAAGAGACCTTTATCCAACAAACTTCTGTTCTGCTTGTTCAAGTGGTAGCTAGGTTATTCATCTGTGGCCAGCGCACTACTCAATGTTTTATAATATAAGCATCATGACCACTTGGCCAATTAAGATTCATCCATCTTTTTGCTTAAGAAAGAACTAATGTTGTCGATTGTCTCAAAAGCAGATATATACTCCATCCGTCCTGTAATATAGCACATTTTGGCATTTGAAACTTATTCTGAAATATAAGGGATTCGGGAAGAAAAAGATAATGTTTACTAAATAGAAATACTTGATTCAATACTTGATATATTTTTGTAAATGGAACTGAGAGTCCACCCTTTAATCATGGAGGATAGAATAGGATTTCAATAAATTAGGAAGTTAATAAGTGAGGGGTACATGTGTCTGAGAATGGCTAGAATTCACTATATTTAAGAATAGATGGAGTATCTTGTAATGATAAATTTTGTAACAACGAAAAAGAACTTGATGCTTGTTTAAGGGAGAATTGCCAATAATCTCGATCATGTGCTACCTGAAATTTCTGTTATCCGGAATGAATGCGTGAACATGCATAGAATTTTCAGCCTCCGCTCTTTCATGTCCCTTTGCTCTCTTTAAGCAGTCTTGGCAATTCACACAAACGAACTCTGTTCGCTCGCCATCGCGTATATATAGAGGTGTTAAGTAAGCTCTGGGGCAGGCACAAGGCACAAGGCACAAGAGCAGTGTTGATGCACCATTGATATCGTTGTTCTCGACACCATGAGCAGCGGCAACGGCAAGGTGTACGCCACGGTGGTGCTCATCAGGCTCATCTATGCGGGGATGCACATCCTCACCAAGGCGGCCTTCAACGAAGGCACGAGCACCACCGTCTTCGTCTTCTACCGGCACGCCGTCGCCGCCATCTTCTTGTTGCCTTTCGCCTTCCTTGAAATCAGGTACCTATTTATCTTCAGTCATGCATATATACTGCAAGGGCGAAGCCATACACCACAAAGTCATCGGGGCCAGCTCCATTAATCAATCTACTAGGAAACTGTAAATTTGTATATGCATGTGTGCATGCTCTCTGCAAGTCACCATGAATGATAAGAGAGTAGCTCATCTGGTGTTCTATGTATGCGTTTGCAGGAAGCGACCGGCGCCACCTCTGACCTTCAGGCTCTCCGTCAAGATCTTTGCTCACGGCTTCTATGGGTATGTCAGCGATTTCAGTATGCGCTTTGGCCGAAGCAGATTATTCTCTGTTCTTGTCGCTGAAACACTGAGCGGTTTGCGTTCTGTGGATCAGGATGGCTGGAACGATCAACTTGTACTGCATTGGCCTGAAATATGCTTCGGCGACCTCGTCGTCGGCTATCTTCAACATCGTGCCGGTGGTCGCCTTCATCTTGGCCGTCATGTTCAGGTCACTGATCGAGCTTGACTACAACAAAGAGCTAGCCGACGATTAGTTACCTTTCTCCATTACTTGTGGTAGCAGTTTCAGTAATAGCAGCTAACAGTTTGTAAACTGCATGCGCTTAACATTCTTGGTTAATTTGGGCGATGGACAGGATGGAGACCCTGAAGCTTAGGAGCATCCATGGCATAGCCAAAGCCTCCGGGATACTCCTCTGCGTCGCCGGCGTCATCGTGCTGGCGCTGTACCAGGGCCCCCAGCTCAAGTCGATGAACCACCACCAGCTCCTGAAGCACCACGCGAGCGCCGCAGCCGCCGCGCAAGTCCATCATTCCAACAGGGAGTGGGCTCTGGGGATCTTCCTGATGACAACGTCGGTCGTGATATGGTCCCTCTGGACAGTGAAGCAGGGGCCGTTGCTGCTGGAGTACCCTTCCAAGCTCCTCAACACGACGCTGCAGTGCGTGTTCGCCAGCGTGCAGTCGCTGGCCATCGCGCTTGTCCTCGAGAGGGACTTCTCGCGGTGGAAGCTCGCCGGCCCCGTGAGCCTCGCCTCGGTGCTCTTCACGGTAACTAAACACGCCACACCGTACCACTACCAAGCAGGCGGCCATCTATCTCTTGGCCAAGCAAGTCACTTCTGATCTTACGCTGCGCCTGCTGTTCTTTGTTACTACAGGGCATCGTGGTGGCGGCGATCTCGTACTACCTGCAGATCTGGGTGATCGAGAAGAAAGGGCCCGTGTTCCTGTCCATGTCGATGCCGCTGAGCCTCGTCTTCACCATGGCCATTGCCTCTTTCCTGCTGGGCGAGGACGTCAGCCTAGGCAGGTATGTAATGGTATTGGTAACCTCACATACATCACATCTATCGCATTCGCATTGATTGCCAGCCACACACACGTCACCGGCGATGGAAAACCATTTGCTCGCGACTGCCTTTTGACTTGCGCACGCCCCCCGCAAGTGGCACCGTGTCGACGCCACGGAGCCCATAGACGACGATGTGGGGTTAGTTGTGGGCAACGATCGATCGAGCTGATGGGGTCCCGACCCAACGGATCGAGCTGATGATCTACTCAGTCGTTTCGCTCTCTGCGAACGCTTTAGCTATCTCCAAACGACTCATCTAACTCATCTCTGTATCTTGTATGGGCGCAGCATTATCGGCAGCGTCCTCCTCGTCGCCGGCCTCTACAATGTGCTGTGGGGCAAGAGCAGGGAGGACAAGCAACAAGCGGCGGCGGCGGCGGGTGAGACGACGGACAGCGGCAGCGACAATGGGAACGTGGACGTGGAGAAGAACGCTGCGGCCGTGCAGCCGGCGGGCGGGGAGAAGGAGGAAAAGGACGGCGGGACGCGCAACGACGCGGGGGCCAAAGTCTGACATGGCACAGCGCGTCCGTGCGTGTGAATCATGCATGCAAAGCGATCTACCGATTCACGGCAGGCGTGGCGGGCGTACGACCGGTGTTTGTGCGATCACTGCAGAAAGGATGCGGGCAGCAAGATCAGGCAGGCACTGTCGCACTCGCACTGATCATGTCCTCACCCTATCTGAAAGCGGTTCTTGGGCCGTTGAGCGCCCGATATGCGTATGCACCACCCTTTATTGTTTGTGTGCTCACATGTACTGTGTACATCACATCAAGTTAATTTCTAGGTGATGGTTGAACCTTTCATAAAGATTTTTCTTATCACTAGTTGGTTTTTGGGCTGATAAGCCCGGCCGGTACTAGTTTATTGTGAGAAAAAAACACTGTTGACTGGCTGATAAGCCCTGCCTGAAACCAACAAGCGAACAGGTTGAAAGAATCTGCTTTAGTTTTCTTTAGAGAAAGAAGAATCTAGTTTATTACGACCAAATCGTGAAATGGATGTGGAAGCTCCAACGCAAAGAGCGAGCCGACTAGACAGGGAAAACGGAAGCAAGCAAAAGGGAAGCAGCAAGCAGGGTTAATGACCCTACGGGTGAACTCCCTTTTTTCTTAAATGTGGTTTAAGATTAAGATTGCAGAATATAATAAGATACACCTTTATTGTTTTATTATCAATCAAAATAGAAACGACAACTACGAGCAAAGTTGTTGGATCTAGTTTTTTTTACGATAATGCTTAGACGCGGGTGGGCGCGGCTTCTCAGGCATGCGCAGCGGACGGGACCAACAGACGTGCTCACCTCTACATCTCCCCTAGTTTCCCCACTCCGCCTCGTCCGCCGTGGCTTCACTGCACCGTCCGCCCACCCCACTCCACCTCACCGCCACGGCCATCCTCCGTCGTACGCCACTCCGCCTCGCCCATCGCGGCGGCGGTGTTCACCGCACACCACTGCCCGGGCACCACCAGGAGAAGGTCGCCATCGGCCAAAGACACCACGACAGGGAGCCGCGCCACCACCGATCCGAGCTTCCTTCCACGATGGGCCGTGGCCACCAGTGATGCCATGTTTCAAGTGTCTTAGGTGTTTCAGACGTATGTTTTCAGTGTTTCATCTAGATGTTGCATATGTTGCGATGGCTATATACGCATGTTGCAAACGTATATTTCAAGTGTTTCAGGTGTTTTTAGGCGTATGTTTTAAGTGTTTCATTTAGATATTGCATATACATATATGTTGTAAGCGTATGTTTCAAGCAGGGGTGAAGCTGGATCCATACATAGGATCCGATCCGTCGAGGCATAGAGTATCAACAATTCCATCCGAAGGAGCACAACAAATTCATAATGAAAGGACATGTTTGCTGGAGACAGCAATAATGAAGATCTTCATCATGAATGGGTGCACGTTTTCTAATAGATTTAGTACTTTAAGACATTGAAGTCGTCTCCAAAGTGTACTTGGTTTAAATGGTCGGGTGCGAAACTCTTATAGAGGCCAGAATATATTTCTTCTTTTTCTTTAAAAATGGATGTTACATGTACTCCTTTTTTTTCTATTCTATTCTCTACCTCTTTGGTATGGCTGGAATTGGACTGACCAAGCCCAACAAGTTGTGCCCAAGTCCGAGAGAAGGAAGTCTAGCACAAACACGGCCCATTGGCCCAACCAAATCGGCATCTCCAGTCGATTAGTGCTCATGACCACATAAGCATCGACATTCTTGAACCTTGATTCCTTTCAACATATCGTACTCAATGTCTCAATCATGTCAGATTATGCCGTATGAGTGCTCATCTGCTGTTGATCTTCGGCTAACCAAGGGTTATTATTCGTTTCTGCGGCGATCCTTTTGTTGGGCAAGCAATGGACATGATCAGACTATTCTGACCGGAAATAAAGTTCTTGCAAGCACAGCCGAGCAAGTCACGTCAATGGCCGTCTTATCCTGTATGATGCTTAGGTGTACCTCTACTATGTTTGACAAGCTAGAATTGATGTTCCACCACAGATAAAAGAATGGAACAAATCCCCTGTTTATTTATTTTTCTAGGTTTTGGCTTATGTTCATTCAGAAGCCATCAAGTCTTATATAAAAAATATGTTCATTCAGAAGCCAAAAGCCAAAACACTAGGTAAATGAGCACTGAACGGGCATGTTCATCTATTTCGACATTGGTTTCTGAAAAGAAAATTTTATTTTTGTATTAGAAGCCAAAAGCACAAAAGCAGTTCTTTTCTTTTGCGATTACACAGTACAATTCAGACACTCACAACGCATGAACACTCACCCCTATCAATGCACGCATGTAAATCCTACCCATATGAGCATCTTCGAATAATGGACCGGCAAATCCTCAAGATTATCGAAGTCACCACAGGCATCTCGCTGTTGATGGGAACATCGTCTACCACTAAAAGCACAACGTCGTTAAATCCTGAAATATTCGCTCCTGCAGGTGCATTTGTTGGTTGTTGTGAAATGCAGTTCTAAGGGATACGCGGTTTACTTCCCTTTAACTTTATTTTTTTTAGTATCTTAACTATCTTAAATAAAGAATTCCAAAACTAAAAGGTTGTAGATCTCACGATAGCTACAACTTTGGCATAAAAACTATCTTCATTTCACATCACACAAGAAAGATATGATTTTTGTAAGGTGATAAAGCTCTCCTACGCAATTAATATGCTGTTGAAGCTTTATGTTACCTTTTCAGCATCTTAATGGCCTCAAATGAGAAACTCAAAACTCTCAAGTTATAGATCGCGTTAAGAGTTATAACTTTCATGTATAAAAAAATATCTGCATTTGACACCATACAAGAAAGGTATTACTTTTTTCGATAACTCGTCTGTTGACGCGTGTTTTATAAAGAGGAGTTAAACATATTATTTTTCTAAGACGATAAGTGCTTGTACGCAATTATTATGCTGCTAAAACTTTATATTATTTTTGGAGCATCTTAAGGATCTCAAATAAAAAAACTCGAAATTATAAATTTATGGATCTCATCGAGGCCTACAATTTTCATATAAAAATAATTTTCATCCAATGTTGTGTGGAAAAGATATGATTTTTGTATGGTTGAACCTTGTCGAGCCATTCCTGTTAGCGCGATAAAACAGTATTGTCGCGCCAACACAAGTGACGTGATAAGATTTTCCACGTGAAAATCACCGTCGAACGTGGCAGGTCATGTCGCATGCGATGCGGCGGCGTGATTTTGCCGCGCCATGAGCGTTGGCGCGTCTGAAAGGGTCAAAATAAAAATAAAAAATAAAAAATAGCGGGTTTGTTTTTTTAAATAAAAGTTGAAAAAGGACTAAACATTAAAAAATCCATAGTCTCGTTAGTCAACATGTTGTCCTAAGCGAAAACCATTAGTGATTGTAAGTAGTAGTTATGTAATTTAGATTCAGCTTCAGTAGGCTAATTTAGCTCATTTTTAGTTTTTAAATAATGGTGGATGCGGGTAATTTAGATGCAAATCTAAGGTACTTAAAATATTGTTTTCATAACAATGACCTAGGTGGGTTTGCTTCGTTTTGTGTTTCGGTAATGCTCTCTACCGAGCGTCCGTCCGACCAGACGCGCGCCTTTGCTGGGCCTGCGGACCAAGTCTGACCGGCCCATTATTAACAAAAATCTAGACACTTCCAATGGGACGGAACCACCTTGCGTGCCGCGCGCCCCTGTGCCACGCACTGGACCCGCTTTGCGTCGCGTGCCCTTGCGCCTCACGCCTCATGTTGGACCCGCCTCATGCCGCGCACCCTGCTCGTGCCTCGCGTTGTGCGCCATTCGTGCCTCGTGCCTCGTGTCGTGCGCCACCTGCGCCTCGCGCTGCGCTCCCCCGCGCCCGCGTCAACCTTCATTGGGCGGCAGAAAAAATATGAACACATGTTGCAACCGCATGTTTCATGCGTTCATATATATGTTGCATATGTTTCATCTGGATGTTACAAAGTAGATCTTGTGTTGTATATGTTGCAATGGCTATACACGTGTGTTGCAAGTGTATGTTTCAAATGTTTCAGCTATTTCAAACATATGTTGCCAGTGTTTCATCTGGATGTTGCAGTGGCTATGCATGTATGATGCAAGTGTGTTTTTCAAGTGTTTCTGTTGTTTCATCTGGATGTTGCACGTTGTAGTGGCTATACACATATGTTGCAAGTGTATGTTTCAAATGTTTCACCTATTTCAGACATATGTTGTAAGTGTTTTATCTGAATGTTGCATATGTTACAGCGGCTATACACATATCTTCACCTGGTTTTGGTATGTTGCAATAGGTGCTGCTCCCCACGCGCTCTGACTCGCGGGCACGCAAGCGCTGTACACACACATCAAATGCTTATTATCTCTGTCATACGGGCTAGCTCCAATAATCGGACGTGGACGCAACGGGCGGTCAGTGCCCAAATGGCTGAGCACTACCTGGTCAAAGTGCATGCGCCCATGCAGAGCGCCAGAGCGGGTCAACGCCCAACGGACGCAGAACCAAGCTTCACTGCACCACCAGGATTGGCCCCCACGGTGGAGCATGCAGTCAGGGTCAACACGGGTACGCGCGTTGTGCTCTCACCCTCTCTCTCGCATATAGCTGGGCAGGCCCCACGCACATGCTCTCCGCGCAGACGCAGCAGCAGCATGCGCAGACCCAGCAGCAGCAGGCGTGTGGCGCGAAGCACCCGGGCAGGCGCAACAGCAGCACGCTCGGGGCGCAGCAAGCCAGCAAGCGCAGCAGCACCACTCACGAACCCAGCAGCAATAGCAGGCGCAGCAGCACGCGGTGTGCGTGTGTCCGGATGTCGGTGCGCTAGCATGGCTCTTTGTGTTTTATTAATAATGGTGAAACCGCTTAATGTTGATATATAAAAAGAATAAGATGGCATGCAATCCACCCGTTAGGACGTGTTTAGCAAAAAGTTTTCACTTTTAGTTATAAACCGGCCTGGGGTAGAACCCTACCAAGTACGATTACTCTAAGATATAGGCCTACCTACTGGGATTACATCAACAATCAAAAGAGACATCCTTTGGTCAAAAAAAGAGAATCAAAAGGGGCATCCCAAGGCAACCAAAACCTTCTAACTGAGTTTTAGGCACATCCCAAGGCAACGCATCATTGCGTACCGTGCATAACGGTTTGTGCGTAATTTAGCCTCAGCAGATGCAGATTGGACGATAAAGTGTCTTCTTCACCTGCAATCAGCTATCAAACATATAATGCACACGGAATTCCAAACCACCAAATCAAAAACTGATGAACAAGCAAGCACTTGCCAACAAGACGCCGAGCAAATAAATATATAACTCTGCTCATCATCAGATCGTCGATCAATCACATTGCCGCCATTGCTGTGTACTGAGTAAGCTTCCCCCGCAGCAGGGTGATCCGATCCGGCAAAGATGAGCAAAGATAAGGCCAGCAGCAAGGCGAGGCCGCGGAAGGCGCACTGCATGGCGTGCTGCGTGGCGCTGGGCGTGCTGGTGATCCTGGGCGCGCTGGCGCTGGCCTTCTACCTCCGGTACCGTCCGCGGCCGCCGCGCGTGGTGGCGACGCCCGTGGACATCAGCATCGACGAGTTCAGCCTGCTCCCGCACCCGGTGCTGAAGCTGTCGGTGGGCGTGCACGTGATGGTGACCAACCCGAGCAACTCGCCGTTCCGGTACGGCCCCACGCCGGGCACGGTGACGTACCACGACGCGCCCGTGGGCGCGACGCTGGTTCCCGCGGGCGAGGTCAGGGGCAAGTCCACGGCGCGGATCGAGCCGGCCACGGTGGTGGACGGCGTGAAGGTGGTCGAGAACCCGCACTTCGCGTCCGACGCTGTGGCCGGCGTGCTGCCGTTCGTGGCCGTGGCGAGGGTGGTGGGCAAGGCGCTCGTGCTGCGGGCCTTCGAGGTGCCCGTCTCAGTAGAGACCGTGTGCTTCGTCCGCTTGTACGTGTTCCATGGCGAGAGCAGCTCCCGGTGCGTGTCCACCGTCCGCACCGGCAGCGGCGCCGCGTCGGGGTCGAGGTCCGGCAACGGGAACGGCTCCGGCTCTGGCGCGGGGTTCCATGAGGGTGCAGGGCGCGCGCAGGAACATGACTAGGATCGGAGTCGGAGGATTTGTTTGTGTGTCGATGGCCATGGTTTACGACCATGTAGAACGGGAGCTTTGTGAGTGTGGGTGAAGTTCTTTTTTTCCTCAATAAAACGGTGTATCTCTTGCACTTGTACACTGTACGGAATTTGAGATTTTTTGGCCAGATGTACGGAATTTGAGATGGTTCCGTTCAGCTGTTATGGTTGCCGTCGAAAAAAAGGGAAGTCGGAATGGGCCGGGCCGAGGTTGCCGCGTTGTGGGCTAAGCAAGGCCAGAAACAACGCCGGCCTCCAAGGTAATACGAGAGACGAGCCGTTTACGATGGGCTGTGCCGGGCCGTTCTTGGTAGAGGTCGATGAAGGTGTTTCATTGGCCGTCCGATTCTCTTCTTATTTGTGTGCTCTGGTGCTCTCGTTCTTCTAGATTGAAAGCTACAGAACCTCGACTCTTCAGTTTAAAAGGAGCAGATTGCGATCTCAATCGAAAAAAAACAAAAAGAGAGTAGGACAAAATACTACCGACGCGTCGCTCTTACGGACAACCGTAATTCCCCACCCAATTTCTTTCCAACCTAAAAGGTACTACTAGCGGTTTTTTATTAAGACGAAAATAGGAATCCAAATTCAAGATGGCCCCTCTGCAGAGTACATCCCCATCTAACTTTTTTCAGCCTAGAAGGTACTAGCGAGATGAAAAAGAATCTGAGAATGTGAATGGTTGGGTGTACGAGCACGAAGGCCTTGTTTGATGTCTATGTATTCATCTCAATCAACGTGTGTTGGAGTGGATTGGAGTAGAATTAAATTAAGTTATATTTCAATTCACTCTAACACATGTGGATTGAAGTGGATACACATGCATTCAAACAAGTCCTAAGCTGAATTAGGCTTACTTAAAAGTTTTGGGTCAATTTCCATGATATCACAACATATTATCAAAACCTATTCCACGGTGAGCATAGTGACATGATTATCTCACTCTACTATCAAATCTACATAGTTTGTTGCATATATTGACAATTAAAACTTAAAAGTGACCACGGTGATAAAAACTAGATGGCTAAAGACCTTAAGTTTTGGGTCAGAATAAGTAGATACTATATATAGAGTGAAATTTACTAACATATAGAAGTTGTTATATAACATCTACTTATATAGGAGTTATGTAACCATAGCAAAACAAACATCTTAGCACTAGTCTCCAATCTCCGTGGTATTATTTTACAAATGTTCTGAGCTGGGACGCGACCTGATCACCGGACAGCTGACAGATTTAACAATAGTAATGAATAGAACACCAGTGAGCAAAGCGATCACATACCGCCATACCGGGCCCTAAAGAAAACAAAAATAGCTGAAATTCCTATGCCACTTCCATCTTACATATGGCCGCTCTCTCCTCCACCTCTAGTCACATTGACCTGCGCCTCCAAACCCAAGAAACACAATAAGAAGTGGATCGGTCCTCTCCTCTCCGCTTCCCGGCGAGGCGATGGGCACCGCCGAGGGGAAGAAGAGGAGGCCCGTCCTGATCTGCTGCGGCGTGCTGGTGACCGTGATCGTCCTCCTCGCCGTCATCTTCGTGGCGCTCTACTTCACCCTGTTCCAGCCGCGGTCGCCCAAGGTGGTGGCGACGGCGGTGGGAGCGGAAATCTGGCCCAAGAGCAACGGCGGCGGCGCCCAAGACCTCAACCTCACCGTGCACGTGGACGTCACCGTGAACAACCCCAACTACGCCGCGTTCCGGTACGGCGACGTGGCGACGGTGGTGCGGTACCACGGGGAGGACGTGGGGCTGTCGGTGGTGCCCGCGGGGGAGATCGGCCCGCGCGAGACGCAGACGATCGCCGCCGCGATTGAAGTGGACGCGGGCAAGGTGGCGACCATCCCGTACTTTTGGGTGGAGTTTCCGACAGGGAAGCTGCCGTTCCAGACGGCGACGGAGGTGGCCGGCAAGGCCGTGGTGCTGGGCACGTTCAAGATCAAGGCGAGCTCGGAGGTGGCGTGCGATGTCACCGTGCAATTGTTGCCTGCCAACGCCACGTCGGAGTGCACCTCCACGGTCCATATAGGCCGGTAGTAACGGGCTATATATATCCAGTGGTTCTGCTCATCTCTGAACAGATATTGTGCTTGTGTGAACATCAAAATGTATACTCTGCTGTGAAAGTATCAACGCCCGTGTTTTCAAGGGACAGTAAAATAAAAAAGTATTAATATAGGTCCTCTACAAATTCACAAAAAAAATATAGGCCCTCTACAATTATTTTAATTTTTTTGATTGGATTTATTTTAATAATGGAAGTACACCTTCCTACCTCTGCTTAAATTTAGGTCCAAATGACAAATAGATCAAAATCACAACTTGTTAAATTCACAAATAAACATACTCTTGTAGACGTCTAGGTACATGTATGCTTACCTCTTCCAATATATGTGTGCAGGTAAACCCCACCTCTAACACCTACGGAAGGATTGGATCGTATTAACATTAAGGTCTTGTCTAGCTGCACTTGTATTCACCTTAATCCACATATAGTGAGATGAAAAATTGACTAATTTTCATTCTATTCTAATCCACTCCAACGCATATGGATTGAGGTGAATATGAGTGTAGTCAAACAAGTTCAAGTTCTAAGGAAGTTTCCACACAACTGATTGTCAGCGGGCTCATTTTCTACCACTGGAAAAATAATAGCTTTGGTGAAACATATTTCTAACTTGGGGTTTTGATACATGGTGGAAGGGAACATATAGTAACCTTCGCTAATCATCCATGCTATTGCTAAATTCTCAAAAACTTCAGTCTTTGCCGCACACATAACTACTAATGCGTGTGGCAATCTCCGAGTAATAACACAATAAGTTTCATGCAAAAACGAAGACAGCCAAGTTCATGGAAAACATTGCATTAGTGAACAAAACAGAATTCCTTTGTTGTCGGATTCTATTTGTCATCTTCGTGCATGACGTTATTTACGTTGATATTAACAAGGGTCTAGAAGCGCTGGTCACATTCATTGATCTTGGAATCATTCTGATCAGAAAAATAATTTTTTCCTCTCTGTCACGGACACAAAAAGATCATTTGTCATGTTATACCTTTTTTTATAATTCATCCTCTTTTAGCGTCACGGTCGCTTTATAATCCTACCATTTTAATATGAGAAATCCAAATGTTGCTTTTTAAGTTTAGCGTAGAAATGTTGCTTTTTTTATTAAAACTGTGGGGGCAAAAAACCCTCAGCAAGGTTCAACAAAATACAAGGCCAGCAAGGAGCTGATAGAACACGCCCAACACAACTCACACTTACCTAACTGAAAAGAGAAAAGCAGAACCAAAAAGGAAGGACACTACTCGACGTTTTTTAGAATTTCGCTCAATCGTTGTTTGCTGGAACCAAACCACAATTTCCAGGTGTATATCACACACACCCTCGTCTTTCGTATCGCTAATGCTCCTATAAGAACGTCCATCCATCCGAACAGGACGGACCCGCCTCGTGCACGCGCCCCTGCGCCTCCCGCCTCATGTGTCCCTGCACCTGGCGCTTTGCACGGTCGCATCGGACCCCCCCCCCTTGCGCCACGTCGTGCGCCTTGCGCTTGCGCGCGTGCCCTGCGCCTCCGCCTCATGCACTTCGGATGTATGTTACATATGTTTCATCTGGATGTTGCAAAAGTAGATCTGGTGTTGCATATGTTGCAATGGCTATACACGTATATTGCAAATGTATGTTTCAAATATTTCAGTTGTTTCAAACATATGTTGTAAGTGTTTTATCTGGATATTGCATATGTTAAAGTGTATGTTCTAAATGTTTCACCTATTTCAGATCTATGTTGCAAGTGTTTCATCTAGATGTTGCAATGTTGCATAGGTTTCAGACATATGTTGCAAGCGTCTATTCAAAATGTTTCATCTGTTTTAGACGTATGTTGCAAGTGTGTTTATCTGGATGTTGTAGGTGCAATAGTTGCAAGCGGGGCGGCGCTGTCCCATTTCTTCATGAGTGGAGCGCATTCGCGCGGGAACCGTGCATGCGGAGGAAAATTGCTGCCACTCTTGCAGTTGCATGCAGTAGAGAGAGGGCGTTGCTGGCGCATGCGAGACTGAGGGAGTAGAGCGTGCAGGTAGATGCTCGACGCTGGGATGGGCACGCAGGAGAAGGTGAGGCACGGCCGTCAGGACGGACAGCACCGTGGGGCAGGCGCGCCGGGCGCTAGCCACGCCCCTTTCATATCAGTATATCACAAACTCACAATGAGACTGCACCAAACGCACATAATAATAACACAATCAGAAACGCCGCAAACCTTTTTACGTGCCTCCTGCTTCCTGACTGTAAAGCTAAGCTTGGCAACAATCAAGAAGGCCGCGGGCCCGCGGTAATATATGCTGCGGCGTGCTGCTAGCCGGCGGTATCATCCTCACCTTACACGCTTCGCGTTCTACTTCGCCGTGCTCCGGGGCCGACCGCCGCGCCGCAGGTGGTGGCGAAGGCTGTCCACACTCGATTGAGGCCCGTGCGACCGCACAGGGCCCCCAAATTCCAGGGGGCCCTAATATCTTGTCTGGTGTCTATTCTTTTTTGGCCCAAGCCCTATACTCCTATGTAGCCCAAAAGGCCAAAACGCGTGTCGCGTCTGTTCAGCTTTCTCCGTCGACTCTCCCTCGGTCGTGCGTGTCTTTTGTTCTCCCCGTCGAATCGCATCTTCCCGACTCCGCCCTAGGCACTTCCGCCGCTTCGCACTTGGCACTTGCCGGACTTCAGCATCGGCGCCGCGGTGGACGGCGAGACCGCGAGCTCGCGAGAGGCCGAGTGCCGAAGCGGCCGTGGTGCCGTGCCAATTGACAAGCGTTTAGCAGGGTACGTGAACTCGTTAAGCTAGGAAGCAGAAGCAGCCAAGACGGAAGCCTGATCAATGGTAATTTTATTCTTTTCTTATTTTGTATATACATGTTCAAGTAAACATTATGCAACGAAGGGTTCAATAGGTACTACAATTCATAATAACTTATCACATTTGCAATGTAATATGTTTTTGTTTATATATCATTTATGGTCCTATTTTGCTGGCATGAAGAACCCGAACTGCACGCGATTCCTGCACTAACTCTACGTGTTGGACGTGCTCACCGGGAGATACTGCCTTTTCAGTGACCGGGAGAGCTCGGGCCGCCGTGCTCCGTCCTTTCCGGGTGTGCGCGGCGGCCCGCGTGTCGTGCCACGTTGCCATGTACCCGTTCAAGAGGGAGAGCAGATCGCTTTGCACTGCGGACATCTAGCACGACGGCTTTTATTCAGATTGTGCTAAAAAAAGGTAATGCAATCGTGCAAGTAGCGCTCGGTCGCATAGAGGAAAAATATATCTAAAAATTTACGCAGTTGCAGTCTGGCTTGAAGAGCAGAGTTTTAGGGAGAGACACGAATGTACTGACAACCGGAGACATAACAACCAGAGTATACTGAACACTGAATATATTATCTACGTCGATTAGCACAGGGGCACACTCGCAGCGATCCACTGTCTTATTGCAAGTGTTTTTAGCAACACAGTGGGATCCCTAGTTATATGATGAGTTCATAACCCCGAATTCGAACTGTCAATGCCACAGACCATCTTTCATATACCGATTTTCATGAATCACACTACCCACGTATAACAAAACAATGGCTACCTAATGCATCCTTGCAGCGGCGTCAAAATTTATATGTTCTTTCCCAGCTCAACCTTCTTCACCATCCTGAGTGTGTTGTGAAAGATGGAATCCAGTATTCCAGCAACCTAGAATTTGCATTTCAGTTTTCAGTAGAGATTTTATTTGGATTCATTGATATCAAGATATATGTAATGTTCGCACCGTGAAGACTCCACCGATGATAGCGCAGACATTTGTGATGAAATGGGAGAAGGATCTCGGAACTTCAGTTACCAAGACCTTTAAATGTGAATCGTTTTAGACGAATCATTCACTTGTTAATGTAAACAAAATATATGAAAAACTTAAAAAGATGAGCATGCGAACCTGCATGGGAGAAGGCTCAATATGGAATTTCACAACAGGAACATAGAAGCTGTGCACCAAGCTGCTGTGTGCTGTGTATTCATATTCCTCGAGCACTTTTAGTTCCTTTGAGGACCTCTGTGTTACAAGCTCAGTCTTCACAACTTGAAGGTAGTGCTCAATCTAGGAATAGCACAAAAGAAACAAAATCTATGTAATTCCATAAGAAACCAAAAGTATCAGCACTCAAAAGAAACTGAAGCTGACCATACATTCTAAATAAAAAAAATATAAGGAAAAGTTAGGGACTTACAGTAACATTGGCGTTAACCTCGCCATGCTTAACAGTATAAGACTGGCCAGCTAATCTATCATGGTATCCACGAAGATAGGGAGTAAGTCTTATGAATTCATCAAGCATCCTTGGCAAAAGTCTCTTGCCAAATGAGAACTGTGTCACATAGTGTGAAACATTTATCTGAGATGGATCAAATGAGTGAGATCCAGATCGAGCTGCGACAATAACACTCCCTGGAACCTGGTAAATAGGACAAGTTATTATTAAAGGACAGAAGAACACCCATCTTCACATTATCAACCATTAGCACAAAATTATATCCATGTAATTTCAAGTGTAGCTCGTTTACCCTTTTGACCCGCACAAAACCTTCTATTCTGCATCCACTCGCCATTGGAGCAGGGCGCTTTGCAGGATCAGCAGTCTTATTGGATTTGTCTTCCAAAGCAAGCACATGAGCCTCTTTTGGAATGTTTGCAACGTATGTTTCCATTGCCTGAGGTTCAAAACATTACATCACGAATTCGTTCAGAGCTAACGATAGATAACATAGCGTCTTAAAGGCTATTTCATTTCCCCATGCATGATGTTTAGGATATACTCCCTCCATTCCAAATTATAAGACGTTTTGGCTTTTCAACATACTTTGTCTTTACTATGCATCTAGACGTAGTGTATATCTAAGTGCATAGCAAAAGCTATGAATCTCAAAAGGCCAAAACGTCTTATAATTTGGAACAGAGGGGGTAGTACCATAATTATTATAAAGAATGTTAAGTCAGTACAATGAATCTGAAACCAGATGATGCATAACATACCGCGACTAAACTCTCAGTATCACGTTCCCCATAGTATGATTCATGGTCATGGTGACCCTGATTCTCCCTGTGCAAAGAAAAATTAGGGAGTTCCTTCTATAGAACTAGGACAAATATCAAACACAAATATAGAACAAACAAATGTTTGCAGCCCAAGTAGCATATGGAGGCTACGTAAACAAATCCCAGATGTTACAGAAAAAAACCAGAAAGTATCTAAATAGAATGTAAGAAGAACTGTGCTTACTTTATATCAGATCCTTTACGGAAAACGCGAATGGATGGGTATCCTTGTATGTGGTGTCTGCATTTGATAAATTGAAGTAATGAAAAGTATATTCCAGCGAAAAGAAAAGAAACATTCTCCAGATTTCTCTTGTGGTCAATAATAAGCTATCAATATGTGCAGATTGAAATGTGCATATATGGCACCAGCAAAGAAACATCAAATCATCAGATGCCCAAGAGAACATTTCATTATAGAGATGATAAACATATATAATGCTGGCGGTCTGGCACCCCTTCTGTCTGTTTATGAAGACAGACAATCACTAATGAAGATGGGAAACAAAGCCCCTAGGTGGAAAACGTTTGGGGGTGAGGTTAAACAGCACCAGGCCCCTGGCCTGTTCCCACTTTTTATCCAACAATATGGAACACAGAAATAACTGCTTTTATTTACAATGAAAGATAGTTTACAGGAACTATACAGACTAACAAGGTTCAAAGCTGAAGCCATAATGGCCAACAAGGCCAGAAATCAACAAAACGGATAGTCAAAGTAAGGAGTTGACAACATAAAGAATATCAAACAAATGTGGTCTAAAAACAAATGTGGTCTAAATAAATGGTAGAGATAAGGCATGAGCTTTACATGGAACCTTTCTTCAATTCCATATTAATCTTAACAGATCTTTGATTGGACCTTAGTACCAGAAGAAATAGTTCTGAATGCAACTAGTTCCAGAAGGAAAAGTACTACAGAAACAAGATGGAAGTGAATATAACATTGTAATTTTATGAAACACAATGGCATCATGATGTCACTTTTTTAGACTCACATTATAATACCCTCTTATTCAGACTTTGTAACTAGTTGACAAATTTATACATAACCAACAATGATTTGATTCCATATTGCATCATGCACAATTAAATCATGATGGTCTGAATGTATTAAGTATCAATAGGTACAGACCTCCTACACAAGTCAACTTCCTCAGTGCAATCAACTTTGCCTAGAAGGATTCTACCATCCATTTCAGGGTCATATCTGCACATGATCAGTAACAAGGTTATTGATTAGCAGTGCAAGATATTGATCGCGAAGTCTTATTAGGGGCATATACAGAATAACAGTATTTACCTCTCCCTCATTATTTTCGCTGTCTTCTCCCATGAAGGTTTCTGAAAAGAAAAAAGAAAAAAACAAGTGCTAAGAAACATTTGAAATAGAAAATATAACATTTACTTCAACAGAACAGAACCACAGATATATTTCAGCTGGAATAAAAACATAAAAGGTTAAAGGTCAAGCATCTAAATCAAATTAGCAATATTACAACAATGGCTTTCACTGCATTATGGTGCATCTGTTGTTCTGCGCTGTACATTATGTCCAGATGACTTGCACAGTACCATACATTAATTGTCGCCTCAGAAAGTCGTGAACACAAAGAAATGTAAAGGAACACTAGGAAATAATACTGACCAGTCGATTGCTCCAGTAACACCAGGGAGCATAGAAGTTGACAACCAAAACAGGATATCTAAACAGGAACAAAATAAGGATGAGTATCAACAATGTTCAAGAAAAAGGATAAAAGTATCAACAAAGCCAATAATTCAAAACGTGCTAGGTGCTAGGCAGGTGGTCAGGTGCTAGTGCCTAGGTGTGCCTAAGCGATTTTATTTAATTTTTTTCTTTTTGGTGGCAAAAACACCAGGGTGCTAGGTGAGGCAGTGCTGCTCTGCCTATGCCTAGGCGGAGCTAGGTGCCGCCTTCTGAACACTGAAGCAAATATCAAGAAATGGAAAAGTTACCTCCATACCACAAGTTACCAACTTGATTGCTAAAATACCATCGAAATGTGTAACATGTGGGACCTGGTCCCACATGTCATAGACACAGCTGATGCTATTTTGGCAATGTCACAACTTTTGATGGTATTTTGGTATTCATGTTGCAATATAGTGCTATAAGTTCCCAAAAAAATACAAGAGGGGTTAAATACTGCATAAAACATTCGATGACAAATATCTTAACAGGCAAGAACAGGATGCTTTGCCATAAAGAATACCCAAAAGAATGGGGGCTATTGAGATACAATGAATGTAAACTGCGACATGAATGTAGACCAGAAAGGTAGTGATGAGTAGAATAATAGAAACAATGGTTATTGATGATTTTAAAATACAAAATGACTAAGATGCTTGATCAAGCAGGACTGTAGGTTGGTAGATAACACTGAATGCTTACTGGTGTGAAAAGCTATCAAAATTGTGAGATGACAATGAAAATGCACCATCCACATGATCCTCTTCAACATCATCTCCATGCTTATTGACAGTGGGGATAGGCCCAGGGTGGAATTCTGATCCAGTTGGTACAAAATTCCGATCAATTGAATACTTTCGAACAGTTTTCCTTATGTTCAATCTGTTCTGCATATGGATTTAACAGATAATTAATATTAAACCAAAAAAAAAGATAATGTGGTGCTCAGAGGGATAATAACTAAGAATTTTGCCATATTCTAGAAGCTATAACCAAAACACAACATATGAGCAAAGATATATCTTACTGTTCCCAGCACGTCACTAACATCAACTTGTACAAATTCACATGAAAGTGCAGGAAAGCTGCAAAACACAAAGGCGGTCAGTAAATATTTGAGAGAACAATAATTAAGTTTCACAGTCCAGAGTTGCTGAAATCATCCCAAATTCCTACCCGACACCAAAGCCTTTCATCCCAAGTAATTGGTGTATGCTAGAGATGAAACCAACAAAGAGCCACATGAACCAAGGAGAAAGGAACAAATAAAGAACTGGTAACAATAGAATAAAAAAAGACCATTCCAGAGCTCAAATGACCAGCAAGACTAATTAAACCATACAATGCTACAAAGTACAAACGAAGAAAGGAAGTGTCCTCCCTAATATTCGCAGTTTCCCTCGGCGTTAGATTGACCAATACATCACGCTATCTCAGGCAGTACGGTATCCAAGACAAGAGATTAGACTCGTCACATAAACCTAGAAGTTATTCGGTGAGGTTACATGATTTTCTTTAGTGTTGTGTGCTACGCAAAATCATGAACTTATTTGTCTTCAGCAGGCATTTGCATTGGCTTACTATAATCATGACATCCAATGATTAGTATCAGCAGAGCAGACATAAGTTAGGAAACCACCAATTTCCATAAATTGTAAACCCAGATGGAAGTTTAACAGGTAGCAGTGTAATATATCCAACCATATGGGCACATATCATATTGCTATTTAACGCCAAACTGAACAACACTTGACGAATGCTATAGGGCTCACCTTATATTGAAATCTATCCGTAAAAACTCCCCATCTGAACTCCTATCAACAATCACAGATGTGGTAGTATTGACTGCTAAGTAACTGCTCAACTCCTGCAATATCAAATCATCATTGTCTTAGTTCAAAACTTGAAGTTCACCTTTGAAAGGATAAAGCTCACAGACCTTTAATGAGAAATCAGGTCAACTTCAAACTGCTGGCAAGTAAAGCGCATTGCAATATTTAAAAAATGGCAGCCCGCAATGTATTGGACGCAGAGCAACTAATATTTAGGATACAGAATGTAACTGAACTACAACTTTCAATGTTTAGTATGCCACAGTAAGTGGAATATTTTATTTGGATACAGAATGTAACTGAACCTTCACTTTCAATGTTTTGTACACCACGACTGATAAAACTAAACCACAATTTGACCACACTTGCTTGAAGCTCACCCAGTCATAACTATCTTCAGAATCTAGAACATCTTGTTGATGTTCTAACCTCAATAGTCAATTGAACGTGAAACAGATAACAAGATTGAATTGAATCAATTAAAAGAACAGATGTGAGGAATGGAAAATGGTTACTGAAGTCAGCTATGCTTAGAAAACCAAATGATAATGCACTGGTATCTACAATTCTACATAAACAGAAGAAGAAAAGTTCAATCATTTTTCCAAATCCTTTCCATACACTTGTTTAAAACCACCAATTGAAACATGAAAGCAATCATATCATGCTGACTTTTACTTATTTTGGTGCTAAAAACCATTAACAGAGAAAAAAAAGTGGCAGCAACAACTGCAACTCATTACAGAAGAAACAGAGGGGGGAAACAAAGAACAGACCATTCCAAATAAAAACACCATAGCTAGTGCTGCTACAATGGATAATCCAGCGCCAGACAGTGATGCCTCGGTCAAATCCCTAGGGATTTTCCTGCAAGATGAAAAAATAAGGAATAGGAACTATATAAACCCATCACTTATAAATGAAACTCAGGACAGGACAATAAAAAAGTTAGTCATTCTGAATCAAATTAGTCTATCCTCACCACTTATAAATGAAGCTCAGGAGAGAACAGTAAAAGTCAGCCATTCTGAATCAAGTTAATTAATCTCCAATGTGTTATTTCTCGGACTCCCAAATCAAGGAACAGCTAGCTCAAACAAATTTTTATGACTGCCCAAGAGGGAAGTGGCTCATGCTACCTCCAATTATAGGTATCCCAAAGACAATATGGACATGGATAACTATAAGTTTCTGATGAGTAGCATGATTGATACATCGAAGAACTAAACAGTGTGAGCTACTCAACTTTGAAATCGCGATGATAATGGTTCAGACCCTTATATACAATAGTTCATCATAGCATGGATGTATTACGTCTGAATAAGAAGCACTCATTTGCTTTAACAGAATCAGAATGGTATGAAGAGAACTTATCATATTACAGGCATTGCCCTTGGAAAAACATACATCTCACTGGTTAAATACTGACACTTCTTCTACAAACAGAACAATCCTCTCCTATTGCGACTTATGAAGATGAACTTCGTCATGACACATGACTTGCTAAAAACAGTGCTTACCAAGGACGAGTTTCTGCAAGCAGACACAAAACAATGCCATGGGAACATTTGGCTCTCCTATCAAATCGAAAACTGTCCAACTCGCTTCTATTTGAGGATTTAGAATGGCATATCCCACCGGAGCGTAACACGTTGTCCAAACAGAAGCACCGCTACAAAATGAAATGTGATCATGGGCCATGAGCGCACTAGCACTCAGGATGCAGTTACAGAGGTCACACTCACACACCAATATTTTGAGCACAGCATCCACCGATTCATCGTGCGGCTCTCGCGTCTGTACCGAGCCTAGAAACAGACAAAGGAAACCATCGCTGACGCAGAGTACCCCCGCCAACACCAAACTGCGCATTCGCCGCAAAGCAGACGCCGCTGCCATCCAGGACTCACCGGAACGAAATCCGCCAAGCCCAAGCTGACGAAATCACTCTCCGTTCTCCTAGTCATCCAATCCCCAGAGAATCGTACCGCTCCAGCGTATCCCGGGAAAAGCATCGAGGAATGGAGGTGCTCACGAGATCTGGGGAGAAGGGATCGGGAGCGCGCGCACCTGTAGAAGTCGACGGACTTGAGCTTGCTGGAGGAGATCATGGCTGCCGATGACCCTCAGATCTGCGGCGGGCGCCGGGGTTCGGAGAGAGGGATCTGGGAGGAGGTCAGGGGGAGGATGGAGGTGAGATTTTTGTGAGGGTTTCAGTTCGCCGTCGTCTCGGTGCTGGCGAGGGGATCTCACCGGCGCGCGGTATGGCACGCAAGCACGAACACACCGACCTCGTGTCCTTCCTCGCCTCCCCGAAAGTACCAGTTGCCACGCCACGCCTCGCCTCGCCTCGCCTCGCCCGCCTGCCTGCCTGCCGTCCCGTGCCTAGGGGCCAAAGGTGGGGCGCCCATCTCAAGAAAACGGGATTGGCTCGGTTTCCTTTTTTCTTCTTTTTCTTAGTGGGCTTATACGCAATTCATCAGAATTCGAGTCAGTGTAGCCCACGGAACCCAACCCTGTCCGGTCTCGGACTCACGGTGCCGCGGTGGGCCGGGACTCCGGGGTCCTCCATATATTGTTGTGTCCGCGGTCCACCAACCGCCACCGCCGCTCTCGTCGAAGCGACGTAGTAGACCGCGAGAAAAAGAAGATTGTGCGAGGAAAAGGAAGAGGCCGAGGGTCGTCGAGGACTCGACTCGAGGCTCGAGGGAGATGGATCCGCGTGCTAGAAGCACGACGCTGGGTGGCCGTACGGGTAAGCGACCGATGACCATGAAGGAGATAGATGAGCTAACAGAACGTTGCTGAAGGAATTGCCAAGAGAAGCAGAAGATGGATCCCTCTTGGGCATTCTCCCCGTTTTGGGCAGATTGGCACCTCCCTCCGAGATTAAGGCTAGATTCGGCACGTATGAGGGAGGAGACTGCTCGCTTACGCGCCGAGTTGGAGGCCGAGAAGACCTCTGCCAATGACGCCTTTACTCGCTACTCGCCATATGCTCGTCTATAAGGGTAAGGGGTGACCACTATCTTCGAACACATCCTCTCGTTCAATGATTGGGAGGCATAATTATGTCTTATCTAATCGATCTCGATTCGTCGATCCCCCTATTATCCTTGCTATTAGGGATGTGATCTGTGTGCTTGAACAATCAAATCGACCCTTGCACAATTAAGGATGTAATGTCTCTGTGTTTCGGTTTGTTTTTAAACACAACTATTGCCTATGTCCGTGACATCTATGAATAAGTTGTTTTCTAGTCCCCTACTGTTGTTGGTTCCATATCTGTACTTCGAAATTTTGTATGTGATTTTGGTGCCCAAGGTTTAAAATGTCGCCAGATATACATTCTAAAGTTTCCGAGATATCCCATTTCCCGGCTGGGCCTGAAATTTTGGCTCTGTCACCTGAAATTTTCAGAAATTTAAAATTATAGCCTAAATAGACACTAAAGCTCACCCGATACTCTAACCTTAATCCACGTTTCATTTTCTCTCTTCTTTCCTTCCAGGTTTAAGTTGCCACCCCCATAACCTCCAACCGCATCGCTGCCCTCCACATTGGATAGGCAATTTGTAATATGGTTTTATTTAGTTCTTTTTAAGTTAAATGATAAATGATTAGAAGTGACTTGTGCTTTCCAGAACAAAATGAGCTATTTTTGTCTAATTTTTTCTAAACTAATATTTCTATCACCGATAGATTTCCGAAGGGCCCAAGGGGGGCAAGGGGTGACCACGATCCACTCGTTGGATCCGGATTCAGGAGGCATGTATCTGTTAGTCGGGTTCAAGGTTTACTTTATTTTCTAATTAATCAAGTGTCTTATGTCTAAACGATCCTTGTTAGCAGTATGTGTCGAGGAGGACCGTTTGTTGTGTGTGCTAGAACAATCTAGCTAATATATTACTTAGCAGTTATGTATCTTGATCGGCCTCCTCTCTGCTTTTGTGATGCCCACCAGTTTGCATATTATATTATTCTTCAATTCAATACAAACCCTATTGCTTTCATGGTTTGCGGAAAATTCTACGATGCAAATCCTGCCATCTCATTATAGGTCTGTTTGGATCTACCAACACTTCACACCCCAGCTAAAATTTAGCTGAGTTTAGCTACTTTAACCTATCAGCTAAACCCAGCTAAAGTTTAGCTGAGCCTATTAGCCGAATGATCCAAACACCCCAACTAAAGGCAGTGTTCGGTTGGCTGGTGGCTGGCTGACTGGCCGGCCAACCACCTCACGAAATCACTGTTCACGTTCTGTCATAATAATATTTTTCTCTCACAACAATCAGCCGGAACAGTATTTTTCAGTCTTGCCGAACAGGCCCAAAGTTTAGCTGGCTAAAGTTTAGCTTTGAAATTTTAGCTAGTTAAACTTTAGTTGGGTGGATTCAAATAGACCCGGGGGGCCATGTTCGTTTATCTTATAATCCGTCCTTTTCAGTTTGTTTTTTCAGCCGGAATAGTATTTTTCTCTCACAGTAAATCAGCCGGAACAGTGTTTCGGCTTGTTTTTTCAGCGAAGCGAACGGGGCCTATATTTCACAGTCATTTGTACACCTGTTCTAATTGATTCCCGTTAGAGTGCATTAATTAAATATAACAGTTAGCAAATCATTCGCTCGATCGTGAGCTGGATGGTGCATGTGTGACAAATAACTAGATTGGAACAATCTCATCAAAGATACTGATTGGGAGAGATTTATATATAACTACTAATTAGAAAATTCCATGTTTCGCCCATACCTTTCCATATTCATGAAGGCATGAGGACATTGTACCCATATTTCTCTCTATAGCACCACCCTTTTGCGTGCAATTTTTATTTTTATTTTAGTTGGATGTGTACTTTACATCGCAAGCGACCAGACCTTGTGGCAGTATCTTCCTACTGCAGGATCGTCTCTCTCTGATAATATCGATAGGATATGAATTATGAAGTGCGTTTTTTTTTCCATCAATCATGCATTCGACTAACCTACCAGAGCGGCAACGAAACGGAAAACAATAAACAATATGAGATATATATATCTGTGTTAGCTCGCTAAAGTCTCTACAATTTGGGACAAAATTATGCCTCCAACCTGCAAATGTTCACATGCCAAGCATCAAAGGTGGCAAGGTGCACTCCAACCCTCTAAGAAAGTTTCTGCTTTTTCTGAACATTGGAACCTGAAAAGGCACGACGTGGTGAAATGATATATTTCAGTCAGAAACTACTGAATTCTGGCCTGAGCAATGTAAATTTTTCTTTATAGAAGTCACCATGCATACATGGGCGGATACAGAGGGTATTCCCCGTATTCCCAGGAATACCCAACTATTTTAGCACACTTCTATGTATATATGTGTGTATACTTGTATATGTATATGTATAATGCCATATTTTGTAGTATTTTCACTCATTGAAGCCCAAAACAGTAAAAAAACAGCCTCTCAAATTGGCTCATATTTTGTAGTATTTTCATTCATTGCAGTTAAAAACAACTGATTTTTTTTATTGACGTGGAAGTAGGAATACCCAAGTTTGGAATCCTGGCTCCGCCACTGCATGCATAGATGTGGGCGACTAAGAAGAAGAAGCACCAGAGGCGGCAAAACAACTTTCTTGCATGCGGTCATTATTGCAAATGCAGTAATTGCTGGAGACTCGCACTCGGATCCATCTGTTGCAAGGGAAAGACCGCTTCGCCCCCGTCCACCCCCTCCCCCAGGGGCGACTCCGCCGCCACCGCCGCCTTCAGTCCCGTTCCCCTCGCCTCCGGCCTCTCTACTGGTGGTGAGGAGGAGCGGGGGTCCGTCTTTTTAGTAGATCTACTTTTTTCTTAGTTTTTTCTTCTTTTATTTTTTTCCTCCATAATAATTTGGGCTAGGTTTTGGTTGGCCGTTTCGATGTTTTTGATCCGGCTTTCTGTTTCATACCGGATCACTGGTGGATGCGTCGTCATCTTCGGTGATGGCATGTTCTTCCTGGAGAGATCGAGGTATGTTGGCATAGTCCTTCTCGAGGAGGGACTGGATCTATTTTCCCCCTTCTACGGGATCATCTTTCCGGCTGCCGGTGATGCTACTGGCGGCAGCGGATCTGCCCTTCCGGTTGCTGATGGTGATGCTAGCGGCATCGGATCTTATGTTCGGTTCAACCTTCAGAAGATATGGCCGATGTGCTCTCGGCGCCCTTTACTCCCCATAGTGGTTGAGCTTACCGTGCCTCTTTCGCGGTCTTCATGTTCGTGGAGTCTTCTGTTGGTAGGGACTGGTTCTCGGGTCTAGATCTGGTGTGCTTCTATGGTCGCGATGGAGCTTCCTGAAGGGGTGTACGCCACCGGACGCGAGGAAGATGAAGTATAGGGACCTAGTGGTGTGCTTCAATGTAATTTTATTTTATGTTGAGGTCTCAATTGTAAAAAGGGTTTTAATTTAATGAAATCCAGTCCCTTTCTAAAAAAAAACTTTCTTGCACGATGGATCCAACCGACATGGTTTACTTTTTTGCGCGATGGATCCAACCGACATGGTTTGCTCACTATACGTTGCTTTGCATGATCACGATCTCACAATTCTCGCCTGCTGGTAGGTTGTCCGGTGAACACAATCCAGCATTGCAATCCAACAGGCCAACTGTACTAAATTCCTGTCTGAGTAAGAGAGAGGAGGAACCAAAAGGAAAAGGATACAGGGGGCTAAGGAAGCATGTGAGTAGGGATAAAAACGGTACGGATATTTTTCGACCGTATTCGAGATCAATTCGTTTAGAGGGGTTCAGATCTGTCTATATTTGTGTCCGAATATTCAACATCCGATACCGTATCCGCATCCGAATATTTAAATCGCATATTTATGATGTCAACATCCAATCGTATCCTATCCAGCATGGCTGACACTATCCGTATTCGAATCCAAATCCGATCATAAATATAAAAATAAATATAATATCAGTCATATCCGTCATTATCCGATCCGTTTTTATCCATACACGTGAGCTACGCATACATGTTCTTTGTCTTGTGACTGACGAGAGTATGTCGTTTGTTGTTTTCCGTAGGTAAACTCTCTTTTCCCCGCTAAATTGAAAGGGCGAAAGGCACACCTTCTGCCATCATTA